AATTGCACCTCCGGTAAAAAATTCCTGGGTCCGCCAGTGTGTGGAGGCTAACCTTAAGGACCATTAGTGTCACAATAAAACGTTAGGGACAAAATGTGATAATTTCGCAAACCTCATGGACCATTTGTGATAAAAATCTTAATTATAATTATAGTACTAGTGTACTGACTATGTAGATGTGGGGGGTGAACCTTTCAGCACGTGACTCATCATGTGAGGAGAGAGATAGACACAAAACTGTATATTATGTTGCAATAAGTTTTAGCCAAGTTTTGAGGTGATATTTTTTTTTGACTTAGTTTGATTTTAAATTGAAACGGGGCGTTTTGTTACTTTTTAGTATAGTTTAATCCTCTTCAATTGCAACCAAATAAAAAACAATTAAAAAAAATGAGACGGTGGTGCTCTGCATCCCTACCTCTCATGTCACCTCATGTTATTTAGTTCTGATTGGGCTTTGACAGCCTTATTATTATTATTTTTTTTCAGTTTTTCAAAAGACACATAATTTTAAGGAAAAAGTTCAGATCTAATTGTGAATTGTGAATTGTTGTTTTTTTATTTATAAAAATAGGTCCTTAATATTTCTCATTGTATAAGGCCTCCAAAATGAATGGACCGGCAAAATAACTCAGCCAAAGTATGTTTGTTGCATTGCGTAGTGCACATCTGGCCAAAATGACGTCTTTTATTCAAACAAGGATTACAAAAGGTTTTTAAAAAGAAGGAAATCAATTGGTTCTATTGCTACATTTTTTTTTACCCTTTTTTTTTTTGTGTGTGTTTCTTTTTCCCCCCTTTTTTTGTTCTGCTTCTTATTTTATTTTTTCTGATTTGGCTCTTATGATAAGTATTCAATAGCAAACTTGAGGAAGAAGAGTCTCTGCAACGCACGACTCATGATTTGATCAATTATGATTTGTTTATATTCAATTTATTTTTATAAAGCTTTTATCCTTTCAAAATTGCACCTCCGCTAAAAAATTCCTGGGTCCGCCAGTGTGTGGAGGCTAACCTTAAGGACCATTAGTGTCACAATAAAACGTTAGGGACAAAATGTGATAATTTCGCAAACCTCATGGACCATTTGTGATAAAAATCTTAATTATAATTATAGTACTAGTGTACTGACTATGTAGATGTGGGGGGTGAACCTTTCAGCACGTGACTCATCATGTGAGGAGAGAGATAGACACAAAACTGTATATTATGTTGCAATAAGTTTTAGCCAAGTTTTGAGGTGATATTTTTTTTTGGTCTGAGTTTTGAGGTGATTGAACTTCCTCTTTTTTCCTTTGTTATGCTTCATTTCATGGCGGTAAGATATTAAGGAAAAATGAAATAGTGGATTTGCGAGACCTCGCTTCTTCGACCAATTAATTCACTTTCTTCCTCTCTTTATTTTTTATTTTTTATTTTATTTTTCCTTCTAAATAAGGTTAATTAACCTTCTAAGAGAATTGAACTCATCGTGAAACGAACACGTGTGTGGACTTGGGTACGAAGGCAAGGTTGACATGTTTTTATTTATTTATCCAAAGGTTGACATGTTTGATTGTGAGTGTCTGATGCATTGCATCTTGCATATGGAATAAGTTGGTCCATAGCTAGCACTTTGTTGTTATTCCTTAATCATTCATTTTTTTTTTCATGAACAATACGGTAATTTATTTAAAATGACATTTGAAATTAGGGGATAATCCGAAATCAAAACAAGGTATTTAATCATCATCATCATCTCCATCCAAGAGGTCAATCAGATCCAAACTGATAATCAGGATGCTTTGAAAAAATTTGAAATGCTCGAAGTCAACTCTTTGTGTGGAATCTATTCTCTCCAACTTCAACTCTGTATGAGATTTGGAAAGGGAGAAAACCTAGCATAAAGCACATGAGGGTTTTTGGTGGCGCTTGTTATATTTATAGAGATAGAGAAAACCTAGCAAAGTTTGATACAAGAAGTGATACTGGCATATTTTTGGGTTATTCTCTCACTAGCATGGCTTACATGGTGTTTAACAAGAAGGCATGTATAGCAGAGCCGGTCCTAGGTTTTCTAAGGCCCAGGGCAAATTTTCTCAAGTGTGCCCCTTTATACAAATTTAAAAAAAAAAAAATTCAACTAATTAATTTTATTAAAATTATAAGAATTTACAAAAGATAAGGAAGAACACTTTGGGGCCTCATTAACACCTTGTTTGGGGAAAACCCAATGGGACAAAACCCCAAACGAAGAAAAAATGTACGAAGATAATAATTTGAAGAAAAATGTCTATTGTGTTCGTCCATGGGGAATTTGAGATTAGTTTCTCTTAGGGGACCTTTTTCTACAAGTAAATCTCTCATTTTTGCATCAAGATTATCCCAAACTCGTGGATCATAAATGTTCAAATCAAATCTT